GGCCCCTAGAATAATGTCTAGAGATTTGAGGCTTTAAATCTTTATTCATGTTCTTTGCATTTTGATTTGCATTCAAGCAAAGGGAAATTTTGGAGATTTCCATTGAGATTGGATGCCTTTTGATGGAGATCCCCATTAAACATTTGAAGATTTCCATTGAGATTTGATGCTTTTGGAGGCTTTTGGATGGAGATTTCTATTGAAAATTTGGAGATTTCCATTGAGATTTGATGCTTTTGGAGGCTTTTGGATGGAGATTTCCATTAAACATTTGAAGATTTCCATTGAGATTTGATGCTTTTGGAGGCTTTTGGATGGAGATTTCCATTGAAATTTAAACAGTTAGTTCTATTTCCATTGATTCATTCCCTTTTATTGTAATTAATATTCCAGATGTCTTCAAAGTTAGGAATTCTTATTTCCTTTATTTTAATATTGCCAGAGGTCTTCAAAGTTAGGAATTCTTATTTCCTTTTATTTTAATATTGCCAGAGTAGCTCCAGAGGTAGCTAGCTACGGATTCCTTATTTAATTATCAACTGATTGATTTTCTTATACATTATTTTGGAGGCCTTGGCTGTTGAGGGGGGGGGGTTTATAAATCAAGGGGCTACATTAGCTCTTGCGGCACATGGAATGTGAGCCGGGTCTAAACCTTGTCTTCGACCCTCCCTCCAAGAAATATGGACTGGTGGAAAAGCCAGCTAGCAATTGTTCACTGTTCTTGGGCCGGCCTCATCTTTTGCCGTCATCACATCGTCGAATTCAGCAATTAGTACATATGTGCCATCAAACAAGTCAGACACAGCTTGTCCAAAGAGGTTTGAGGAGTGTTAGAACGCAGTCCAAAAAGAACAAGCACACTGAACAAAGGTAGAACAAGCAGTTGCCTCAGCCAAGTATCAAGTGACAACTACTGTGGGGCAGCACAAGAATGGATTCCTGACATAACGGCAAAATGGTTGGAACACCGGGACTTTTGCAGAGGTATTAATCATATCCTTGTTAACGGTTAATTATGGTTAGTCAGGGTTTTGCACTTTGATCTCCATCCCTGTCTCCCTATTGAAATTCCGAAATCATCAGTATTGGCATTCCGGCCAAATGGGGGGGTCCAAAGGCTAGATCCGAGATGTTGTTTTATATGTTCACAAATTGTCACAAATCACACAGAAAGCAAAACAAAAACGGTGCTTGCGGAAACGGTCACAGGTTCAACGGTTCAACTATATCTTGGTTGATGTAGTCTGATTGATGTTCTATGTGATAAAGGGTTATATATATATACCCTAGGCTTCCAACCACCATTACTTTAATAGGCTTTACCGAATCAACTAAGGATTTTACACTACAAACACCAGGTCAACCATATTTTAATGGTCTTGGAAGTCTAGGGTATACGGTGCATATATATTATATGTCTAAAATGATTTTAACATGTAAATTCCAACATCTTAAAGCTTTGTCACCTGCCACCCGTGTCACCCAAATTGGATGTCCCAGTCACACGTGTCGCCCGCCTCTTGTCCACCCTCAGTCGGAGAGCGCCGATGGAATGGTCCGGGGCCCGGAGCGTGAGCTGGGGCGATGGCAAAGGCCCTCCTGGCGGAGCTGGCGAGTTGGACGTGGGCTGGGCACTCAGTTGGATGTGGGCACACACACGCACACCCAGCATCCCGGGTTTTTGTCTTGGACTTGCAAACACCTTTAGCCCTTTTCTTCTCCATCTAATTATGAGATAGGTGAATCGAAGCATACCATTACCACCAATTTCACTGCCAGTTGGGGCTACCAGAAGCCCATCAATCGAAAAAGCTCCGACCCGAAGCCAATGCGGAGGGTTCCCTTCCCCGCTTGGAAAAGGTTTGTCCAATACAAGCCAACCATACCAGCTATATATATATATATGGATTCTCCAAGTCTGCCGAAATCTCTGACATCAAAAGTAGTCAAAACAACCTATAACTAAAAACAACTCTCACTTCACATACGCACCACACGCTGACCATGCTTTTGCGTAGATGACGGGTCTTTCCATTCATGATCGTCGATGCCAACTCCGAGTTCATCACTCGAATGGGGCCACGAGGCGTCCTGCCCTCCTTTTTTCGTCACGGAGGCGTCCCGGAGGTGGAATCAGCTGTAAAAGGAGTTGAGTCAGACTTGGTGGGTGGTTTATCCGACTCACCAACGAAGACAATGAGTTCGGCATATATGTTGGTTCGATCATACCAAGTAAAGGTGGAACATGGTTGAACATGTGTTGAACATTAATATCAACATGTCTATGTGTGTCTATGTCACATTCTGAAACCACTATTTGAGTCATCTTCTCAACCACCCAAGTCATCTTCCTACAAAGTCCTCAAATGCCCACAGGATCGGATGTCCGCATTCCGAAAAAACATGTCACCACCACACCATGTTGGACCCCAAGTCACCAGCGTCCCGTCCATCAAAATGGCGGCAAAAGCACCACAGCCCGAGCTGCAAATCTGTTGGACGTTTCGAAGACGGTCTTGAACTTCCTTGCTGTTGCCTCCATCAACGGATGAGCCCCAAGTGACCACCGTTCGATCTGACAGGATGGCTGCGAAAGCATGACGGCCCGCACAAATCTCGTGCACATTCTTCAGCCTCTCTTGGACACTCCTGCTATCACCTCCAGAGGAGGCACAACCCCATGTCACAACCGTTCGATCCTGAAGGAGGGCCGCAAAGGCCTTGCAAGATCCCGAAATCTGCTGCACATCTTTGAGTTGATTTTGGATCAGGGGGCTTCGTACACAAGAATGGTAGTTTCCCCAGGTGACCACTTTGCCGCTCTCCAGTACTGCAGCAAAGGCCTCTTCATTGCTGAAGACCTGCTTCACCCCCTGTAGCTGGCTCTGCACTCGTCGGGTGCTCCCACCAAATTTGGGATCGCCCCAGGCCACAATGCTGCTGTCGCCCAGCAACGCGGCAAAGGCCCGGGTGGTCGCGCAAATCTGTCGCACATCGTTCAGTTGATTCTGCACCTTGCCTTGGATGGCGGATCGGATATATACCGAAAATGTTTTTGAAATATGCAAACATACAAACAAAAAACACAACAGTGCAAAATAATCCCCGATATTTCCTAAGGTCCTATGCAGTGGAGCAAGTTGATCAGTGATCAAACACCCGGCTGCAGACTACATACCCATTTTGGCCTGTAGAGGAACACAGTCTTTCAGGGTGACATTCTCAGAGTGCATGTTGGTTTTCTGGAGTGCAAAATTGATCGAACATACCTGGACCTTCGTCAGGATGCCCAATGGAGATGCACAAGTAGTAAGTATAGTGCGTATTCCATTGGAGACTCCTTTGAAGGTGTTGGTAAGCAAAACAGATCAGTTGCTGCTATCACCTCCGCACGTTGGATTTCCCCAAGTCACCACCCGTCGATCTGCCCGGATGGCTGCAAAGGCGCCCTTGCTGCCGACGACCTGCTGGACGCCCAGCAGTTGCTTTTGGACCTCTTCACCTTGGTCGGTGGATCCAACAGGTCTGTTCGAGTTTGTCTGACGGCAGTGAAAGCTGCCTTAATGGGGCTCCAAACACCTTCTCGGAATGGTAATGGAGACATGTTTACGTAGGTTTGGAGGATCCAAGTACTCTCTCAGAAGGTGCTTGGATCCCTAGAGCTGTAAAGACTAACAACAAAATGTCACATTCAAAACAAATTATATATATATATGTATACCCTGGGGCTCCAACCCCCATACAAAGAAAGGTCATTAACATGACAGATTTCATGATCACTGAGGAGTCGCAATCGTTCTTTTTCGCTCGTCGTCGGCGGGCCACATAGCTGTTGTACCTTTGGCCGCAGGGGTCTTAGCCGGAAGAAGTGGTCAAGGAGGTGTCCAGGGTAGTTGTTTATTCTATAATTGACTCGAATTCTTAGATGGTATACCATAGATCATCTAAGATACGAATTCACTTTGAACTGGGTTGACCATATCCTGACCATGCCAGGTCAATTATACGTATAATACTACGCTGTGTTGTAAGAATTGACAACGGTGCATTGTGCATGATTTAGGTTCGAGTTTGGAACAGCGAGCAATCCAAATCATTCTTCTTTGGGCATGGGCCTGAAGATATGTTCCTGGGTGTCCTCAGACTTGACTCCACACTTGGACCCCTCCCAAACTGTAACCACACCAACGATAGTCTCGACACACACGCAAAAAGTCGATCAAAGCATGTGCATGCATTCATGACACATTTGAAGACAAGATCGACCGAGAGGACCTTTAACCAGGCCCTGGAATCGGAATCTTCATCGCGAATCCATGAATGAAAGAATCGGACATTGGAACCTCCAATGGATGTTTTGTCCAGTTTTGAACCAAAGTCAAGTCGTGAAACATCATGTACCTCGCAGCAAAATCTCTTTGATAAGATGTAGGAGTGCCTGTTGGACATGATGTTGCTCATCCAGGGGCCTATTTACAAAAAAAAACTTAATAGCATATTAATTGCTCTCTGAGATCAAGCTGCCAAGATTCATGCAGCTTGGGTCTCACAAACCACTCGCGCAGGTGCATCCTAATCCCAAGCAGTAGGCAAATTTCATGCAGTGAACAACAATTATGTCACGAAAGTCTGGACGACAAATTCCTGTTTCTACACATGTTTCTACCGCATGCGCGGCCAATAGGCCGAAGGCTGTGTCGGCGCAGAACAAGGTAGAACTTGACAAACTGCATCCCGTCGCGGTGGATGCTCTTGGACTCATCTTCACTCCTGGGTACAAGCTGCCCATTCCACAGCATAATTCGATTCCTCCACTTGCAACGCGTGTTCGTTTGAAGTTGTATGGCAAGCTGCAACTAGCATCCAGCCATCTCCATGTGCGTGATGAACCAGGACATGTGGCACCTGGCACAGCACAAAAAGTTGTCAAACAGATCGATCCAAACCCACAAACCAAAGGGACAAGATGACCAAGGACTACTTGCATTTGTTCACATGGTTCTCAAGTCTCACCTAGTTTTCTTAATAATGGTCAGTCGAAAATTCTGGTGAAGATTTGAAGCATTATGGCCGTATACCAGTCCATAATTTGTCTAAGCTGTGCGCACGCTCAGAGGATGCACCACGAGGAAACTAGATAAAACATGGCCAAGGCACAAACCCGCCGTAATGAGATCAAAGTATTCAGAATTCATCAAAATCAGCATAGTCCCCGCGGACAGACTCCAAAGCGTGAGCAAGCCACTCCAGAATGACCCTGGAGTTGTAAGCTTTCGCAACAAGCAGAATGTCGCCCTTCTTCTGGAAGAGCTTAGCTGATATGCACAAGCAGCACAAACAACCCACAATTTAAAAACTCTAAAACAATCCGGTATCCTTCTTGAATGATGTAAACTCTATTCACAACATGCTTTCTCCGTTGAGCAGCAGCAACACGCCTCTTTTATTGAAAGTATAAAACAAACTTGAATGAAGTTGCTCTCGACTCAAGTCACCATTCTCTCTTTGAACATAGGTTGGCTGCACTCTACCTTGTTGCTGGAGCACCATGTTTTGAAAATGCCATAGGCGCTGAAGCCGCAACCCAACCTGTCATCGGTGCTGCCAAGCTGGCCACAACGTAGAAGAAGGTTCCTAAGAATGCACGTAGCTCTACTGTGCTTTTCACATGACCAAACCATGACCAAACTACAAAAATTCTGCAACGTAGATCTTAAACCAAGTTTCAATGCACTGCCATTTACTGAACTGTGAAGGCCTTGCTTGTATTGACCGGGTATCGGTTGAGGCTAGTATCATGCAGGGGCAGTTGACCAACTATGCGATCGTAGCGTTTGGATCCCTTTTTTGTTCATTGATCTGAAAAACCAAGGTTCTAGGTCAGGCTGAGATTCATCGTCCATTAAAGTACTTGCAGAGTCCGTGTCATATGACTGTCTCACTCAGGTGCGGGCATTTTGGTGATCTTGTCCAGCTGTTTGCAGGCATCAGGAACGACTTTGTCATTCATCACTTTCATCTCGTGTGCGTGTGAGGTTCGTTAGAACATGTGGTGGTACAGCACTAGGACACGACATTTCTTGGCAAATGTCCAATTCCACATGATCGGGCTGTTGTGCATAATCCTTCCTTCACAACTGCATATAATACAAATAACGTGCCCCACACAGTACTAGTACTGCAACTTTGCAACTTTGCAAAATCGGTGCATATGGGGCCACCATCCATTATGACGAATATACAGGGACACACGACCTCATGACTCTCAATATAAATATATATATACATATATATATATGTTTTCATGTCTGCTAGTTGTCCATATCGATCAGTATAATCGGTATAAAAAACCAGCCTGTTGACACAGTTGTTTTGCCGTTTTTGTTCACTTTGCGAATGACCATTGCGTCCTTGTAGTTTGGCGTTCAAGATCCGTCGATTGTCCTTCATGCTCGACTTGCGCTTGAGACGGTGCATCCATGGCCTGAATGCATGTGCACTGATGCTCAGCTGATTGAAAGGTAACTATGCAGCATCGATCAATCTTGGTGACGAGGCCAGCACACTGTTCCAAAGAGCAGACTGGGTTTGACGTGCTTGTGGCCAAATGCACCCATTGGACTTGGTGCAATTACCAGTGCTAGTCATAGAAAGAAACGACCACAATTACATGCACGTACGATGACCAATCTTGTGTCAGTTGTCAGTTGGCCATATATAGACACACAATGTTATTACATAAGGTTGTAACTGTTTCAACTCTGACAATGCGGTTTGTCCATGCATATGTTTGTATGATACTCGTATGAGGTTGCTCACATAGAAAACCACATCCAAGAGCAGCTGCCAGCATCCCGAGAAACACCCACCGACATGTTATCCTTGGAGCCACAGGTGCACAGCTGTGCATGTGTTCATCCAAGTTGGAATGAAGGAGACAATTTTACATTATAGTCCTTTGCGACTTTCTCAAAGCTATATACAGTATACAACATGAAACATCACCAGCTTCAAAATAGTGTAGGCTAGAAAACACATTGGCGTCCCTTACATGCTGTCGGGAGCTATCTCCCAGTGGAAGGGAAGAGCTCCGGCGGCTGGTAGCTCTGTTTATGAACACCCAGCTACCATAGGCCAACCCTGGGCCGGGACGTTGGGCCGTGGACTTGATGTAGGACGATGTGCATGTGTAGATCGAGAAAAGCTGGTTTACATATTCAGGTTTTGCAGGGTGTACGTTTTGTCAGGGATATGAAGATCTATCACTGCCAGGTCAGGGTATGAAGGGTGTTCCCTAGTTAGGTCAAATCCAAAGATCCACAACACACTGAGGATGTCACCAAATGCCACAAAATGCATCCACCACATCCAGGGTCTTACACATAAGGCAATCCGGTCAGTCAATCGATCTAAGCTAAGATCGCTAAGATGACCCATGTAGGCCCTTGGCCATTGCTTAAATAATCTGTTTTTTATAACATGTTATCGATGTTAAATGATTTAATAACAAGTTATAACTGTATGTGAACTAGTTATAACAAGTTATAAGTAGGGTTTAAGTAGGGTTTAAACAGTTATAACTTGTTAAGTTAAGTAGATGTTTTAGTAAAAATTGTTAACTTTTAGCTAACTATGTTAAGTCAATGTTAATTTTTAACTTGAGTTAGGCAGAGTTAGTAAAAATCAACTAACATAGAAGTATTGAAAAATCATATTCCACATTGTAAGTTTTTTGTTTTAGAAAATTAAAAAAGTTCTATTCTAATGTGAACTTTTCAATAAACCACCATAAGAATAATCAGCCAGCATGGCATTCAATTTTGTAAAAACATCATCAAGTGCAGTTACTTTGCCCAAGGGCGAACATGAAGGTTGACATCCAAACAATCACAACCATTAGCTGCAATGATTGCAAATCAATCCCAGTGCCTGCCAATTTGATTCAAGAGCATGGTGGCCGCCAATGGTTGAAGCTGAGACCTACATGCCAGCAACTCAACCAAATCATTTATGGCAAGGTTGGCAAGAATGCTTCTTTTTCCAACCACACAGGCTTCCAAGACTTCATTACCAAGAGGAACCAACTGTGGGCCAGAGGAGCTGGTGAAGACCAGCCACAAGAGACTGTCTATGAAGAAAGTGACCAGAGCACCCAGGGGACAAAGGCCAAGAAAAGAAGACTTGATGACCCAGAGGGTCTCCAAGTACCTCTGGGTGAAGCTACCATTGAGTGCTTGATGCAGGGGCAGAGGCCAACCAAATCAGATGTGGTGATGCCATTGGAAGAGAGCCAGCTGGTGCCAATGTTTGAGCTCTTGCAAGAGCACCAAGATACTTTGAAGACAAGGAAGCCTTACCAGAAGAAGGCATCAGTTCCCAAAGGCTAGCTGCCATAGAGGTAGCAAATCACCAGAGGCAATGGCTAAAAAAAATGAATTGCAGTTACTGTCAGATGCTGTGTGCCAATTTGTGGCATTCCACCATTGCTTGGCAGCCTGATGGCATTGCATCATTATGAAACCAACTTTGAAGCATTTGAAGTTGGCTTCTTGTAACCCAGAATCACAAACAATAGCACCAGGTATCCATCACCATGCATTGGCTCCAGCAAAGTTGCATTGGCTCAACACGCTTGCTCACCGCCATGAGTGTGGTTGACCCAGGCTGTGTGAAAGCCATAAACAATCTATTGGCATCCAAACTGCCAGTGAACCAAATGGTGGACCAGGTTGTCCACACTCTCAAGAAGCAAGGTTTGGCCTACCACTCTGTGGTCACACCAAGCCATGTTTTGTGCCACCCCCCACCAAATGCTTTCATGGTTGGACATGTGGGACAAAGGCCAGAAGATGATGGCCATTGGTATGAAAAGGCAATTCCTTCCTTGGAGAATCCATGGCCATAGAGATCTCACCAGACCCTGCCAAGAGGTCTGAGCAGCTGATGGCCAATGAGAACCTCATCAAGGAGGCCAATGGTGCCATGGCACCCATGACAGGTTCTGAGCGTTCTTTGGTTGCCATGACAGCTATAAGGTTTATGCTTTTTTGTCAGCCTTCAGGATCACAAAGAATTAGCTGGCATTCCATGCTTCCATTGCTTCCATTTGTTCATGTCCATGCTGAGGTTTCCTCAGCTTGTCCACCAGCCACACCACAGCTTTTCTGAGGGCCATCAACCATGGTTGCCTGCCAGATGAGCAGCCTCCCATGGAAGTGCGCAAAGATGATCCATGCTGGGACCTCATCCAGAATGCGTGGTCGTGGCTCATTTTGAGCCATTTGGTGGAAGGCCAATGGCCCATGCTACCCACCCTGCTGCAAGGGGCCATGAACTCTGCCAACTCCAAGGCACCAAATGAATTAGAGCTTGCTGCCCAGCTTGGCCACCTGTACCACTTCATGAAGCCAAGGAGAAAGTCCAAGCTGCCAATACTTGCCAGCCTGAAGTTTTGACCTACCTCAGTCATTTTGTGAAAACATTTTCAGATGGGCCAAAATTTCCAATGTTGGATTTCCTACAAAAGTTCAGTGGCCTGGATGCAACCAAAGGCTTCACAAATACCATTTGTTTGCTCTATACCACCAACCATGAATGTTGGTGATGCTTTTTGAACCCAAAGTGATAACCAACGGTATTGGAGAAGAAGACGTGCAAGTTTCACTTACATTGTCCGCTTTTTTATAACAGGTTATGTTAGTTATGAGAGTTAGCTAACATGGTCATAACATAGTTGCAACATAGCTGTAATATGGTGTTACATATATGATATTAACTTTTAGTAAAAGTTAATTAACTAAGATAGCAAGGCTAACACTAACACTGCTAACTCTGCTAACAGTTAGCATTGTTAGCATTGCTGCCATGATGTTACTAACTCACAAAAATAGGATGAAAACATGTTTTGATAAATGAAAACTGACCACAAAAATTTTGCAGTGCACACTTGTTCATGCATATACAAAAGAATTAGACATCAACTTGTATGCAAACTGTAAACAACATATGTTGTCAAAATTAACACAACATATTGAACAGTATTGCTAATAAACACATGGTCACAGGTGTTTCTTGTATATTGCCATGTTTTGGCCATTGCAACGTTAACCATATTGGAGCAATTTCTTGAATGGTTTGTGGCAACATGGCAAGCTGTGTGCAACAAACATACCAACCCAACATGACAACTTTAATTTGCCAGTTTAGAAATATATACAATAATGCCATTTTTGGCAATATGTACCTTTTTAGCAGAAGGCCTCCAGCCTACAAGCAAAGGCCTCAAACCAAATAGCAAAGGCCTCCAACCTGCAAGCAATGGAATCCAACCTACAAGCAAAGGCCTCCAGCCTAATAGCAAAGGCCCCCAACCTAATAGCAAAAGGCCTTTTAACCTACAAGCAAAGGCCTCAAACCTAATAGCAGTTTCCTCCAACCGACAAGCAAAGGCCTCCAACCTACAAGGAAAGGCCTCCAACCTGCAAGCAAAGGCCTCCAACCTACAAGCAAAGGCCTCCAACCGACAAGCAAAGGCCTCCCACCTAATAGCAAAGGTCCCCAACCTACAAGCAAAGGACGCAAACCTACTCCAACCTACAAGCAAAGGCCTCCAACCTAACCTACAAGCAAAGGCCTCCAACCTAATAGGTCCAACCCACAAGCAATGGTCTCCAACCTGCAACAAAAAGGCATCCAACCTAATAGAAGCGGCATCCAACCTACAAGCAAAACCCTCCAACCTACAAGTAAAGGCCCCCCCAACCTAATAGCAAAGGCCTCCAACCTACAAGCAAAGGCCTCCAACCTAATAGCAAAGGTCTTCAACCTACAAGCAAAGGCCTCCAACCTACAAGCGAAGGCCTCAAACCTAATAGCAAAGGCCTCCAACCTAATAGCAATGGCCTCCAACCTACAAGCAATGGCTTCCAACCTACAGCAAAGGCCTCCAACCTACAAGCAAAGGCCTCCAACCTAATAGCAAAGGCCACCAACCTACAAGCAATGGCACCCAATCTACATGCAAAACCCTCCAACCTAAAAGCAAAGGCCTCCAACCGACAAGCAAAGGCCTCCAACCTACAAGCAAAAGGCCTCCAACCTAATGGCAGTGGCCTCCAACCTACAAGCAAAGGCCTCCAACCTACAAGCAAAGGCCCCACACCCAATAGCAAAGGCCTCCAACCTACAAGCAAAGGCCTCCAACCTAATAGTAAAGGCCTCCAACCTAATAGCAAAGGCCTCCAACCGACAAGCAAAGGCCTCCAACCTACAAGCAAAGGCCTCCAACCTACAAG